TGGCAGGGCCGGCTCCAGGCACCAGCCCTCCAAGCATGTGCTTGGGGCGGCACCTGGAGGGGGGGGCGGCACTCACCCGGGGAGAGCGGGGCCACGGCCAGGCTCGCCGCCCTCCCCCTGCGCTCTGGCTGGCCGGGGAGAGCGGGGCCGCAGCCGGGCTCACCGCCCTCCCCTGCCATGCTCCCCGCCGGGGGGCGGGCAGTGCGGAGGGAGGCTTTTTTGCCTGGAGCGGCAAAAAAGCCAGAGCCGGCCCTGGATGTGGCCTTAGCAGGGCCAAATAGAGGGGAATAATCACTTCCCTTGATCTGCTGGCAATGCTTCTACTAATGCAGCCCAATATGCCATTGGGTTTCTTGGCAACAAGGGCACACTACTCACTCATATCCAGTTTCTCATCCACTGTAGTCCCCAGGTCCTTTTCTGCTGAACTGCTGCTTAGCCAGTCAGGCCCCAACCTGTAGCGGTGCCTGGGATTCTTCCGTCCTAAGTGCAGGACTCTGCACTTGTTCTTATTGAACCTCATCAGATTTGTTTGGGCCCAATCCCCCCAGTGTATCTACCTCTCCCGCCAGCTTAGTGTCATCTGCAAACTTGCTGAGGGTGCAATCCACCCCATCATCCAGATAATTAATAAAGATGTTGAACAAAACTGGCCCCAGGACCAACCCCTGGGGCACTCCTCTTGATACTGGCTGCCAACTAGACATCAAGCCGTTGATCAGTGTTCTACTTGATCACCAGTGTTCTACTTTCAGATACTCTTCAGAATACTGTTTTTGTTTCCTAAGATAAATTTATAAAAGCAAATGAACTGCAGAAGGAGAAGGATAGTCTTGTGATGAATGCATTGGTTTGCTCCTCAAGAAATCATGATTTTATTCTTGGCTTTACCACCACTCCCTCTATGACCTTGGACAAGTCTCTCAGTCTTTCTGTGCTTCGGTTTCCCATCTCTAAAATGGGTATAATAGTGCTTAATAATGCATGCTTACCTCACAAAGGTTGAATGAGGCTAAATTCATTGTTTATGAAGCACTCAAATACTATTTTACTGAGTTCCATATAAGTACCTAGGGAAATATTTGTAAAGAGAATAAGCCCGGATACTGCAAGATGCTGAGCAGCTACTATGAGCTTCTGAGGGCCCTCAACAGCCATTGACTGCAGTGTAAGTGAAAGATACTCAGGCCCTTTCAGAACTGGGCTAACTAAATTCAACTGAAGTTGATGGCACTCAGAAATGTATCCCATGTGTAGTCAATTGTTGTGTGGATATGTAGGTAGGTAGATCAATAGATTAAAGCCTGCTTTAGTTGTGCATGTGTTTGGCTGGTATCAAAGAATCATACAAAATAAAAGGTACCCCAGCTACATTTTATTGGGCTTGCAATTATTAGAAACTGTTTATACACTTATTAAATATGGAGGAAATGCTTTTGAATTATGAATACTTTTTTAAAATAACTACTTTTTACAGGGTCTACAGAAAATCAAAGTTGTGTGATCTGTATACCAGTACCAGTTCACTAAGAAAAGCTATGGGCCAGTCTGCACTTGGGCCCTGCATGGATGATCAGCTCGGGAGTAGGGGGGAAGGACACCAGAAATTCTCCTTCCCCACCCTTTGAATCTCTTTTTAGCATCAGATTTTCATTCTCTTTCCAAATATTTCTTCATTGCCCTCATTACTGTAGAATTGGTTATTATTATCCTCATGTGACAGCTGGGGAACTAAGGCATTGCCCAAGGTTATACAGGAAATCAGTGGCAGAGCCAAGAATAGAAACCTGGTCTCTCAGGGACCACCAAGCACCTTCACCAAGACCATCCTACCACGATGCAGTTCCTGCTGCACTTTCCCACACTCCATGCTCTGCTGACAGCAGGGCTTTGTTGGGCCTCCTTGGGCACGAAAGGGGCTGAGGAGGAGGCAGGGTCATGGCTTGCCCACTGGTCAGATGCAGGAGGTGAGCAGCCTGGCTACTATCCTGAAGGGGTGGGGCAGTGGGTGTTCTAACCCTGTGTGTCTGGGATTATGCTCAGTGCCTCCTGGTGCTCCCGCTGAGATGGCCCTGTCCTACATAGCCTACCAACATGGGACAGTGGGTAATAGTGGATAATTGTGTGTGCAAATGGGATGTTAGGGAAGTGCTTGTTTCCCTGCCTGAATATAGAATTTTGTGGGGATAATGGGCATGAGTAGGTTTTTGTGGGTTCTGCTGCTGCTAACTGCCTGTGCTCTTAAAAGTCTGTAAAAACGGTGGCACTTTAAGGAAAGCATGAGATACATACTATGCACACCACCAAAAGCAAAATTATTCCAGTATAACCATGTTCTGGGCTAAATTCTCCATTCTATCACACCATTGATTTCAAAGTAGTTGCTCTAGAGTTACATCAGTCGAAGTGAGGGTAATACTTGGCACACTGTCTTTAATTAATTCTGCTGTGCTAAGTACTATAACACATGTATATAACACACCGAGGCAAATGATTTTAGAGCATGCTACACAAAGATGCAATGAAATTGGTCTCATGCTAGAACTAGCTCTCACTTTGTGTATCATACTTAAGTTTACAGATACCATTAATAATTATATATAATTTTAGTAGCAAAGACTAAAAATAAAGGGAAAGAGGGAAAAAAGACCTTCCTGTAATAGTTTACAGTATGAAAATGTAAACAAATAGTACTGAAGGCATCAATGGAGTTTTTATAATTTGATGCAAACTGTCTGATGAAAAGTTTTGCATGGTTCTATAGTGCATGTAAAAGGTCTGTTGCAGTCACTTTTCTGAACCCCTCTTTTCAACTAATCAAAACCCAGCCATACATGCTTGCTCTGTACTGTACTTTGGGGTATTCAGTCTCAGCCCAGGATTTTTCAGTTGTTTACTTTTTTTAAAACAAAATTTGTGGGGGTGGGGAGTAACAGTTAGGTCCTTTCACCATTCTGCGAAGTAGCTGAGCAAATGGAAATTCAGTGGCTTCCTAATCTTTGTTTGTTTCTTTGTTTTTTTTAATAAAAACGTTGCAACTCAACTGTGGCTGAATATTTTGGGGAGGAAGGTGGACATGTTGGAATTGCCTCAGTTTCTCCTCTGCTTACTCGTTCCCACCACTATTCATTGACCCTCAGAACAGCATACATTGGTTCACCCAAGCTGGTGCATGTTGCTGGGGAGACATGTTGAATCCATCTATTTTTCAGGCATGCTGGGCTTTATCCTTCCACAGCCAGCAGAGTCTCACTCACTGTTGGTTCATCAGTGGCTAGGTCTGGTGCCTCTGTCACAGCAGGGGTTGCAGATGCACTATGCCACTGCTGCACTGCCAGGTGTTCTTCCCACCAGAGACACAGCATCTCTGATCTGAGGATCATCATGTACTTTACCCACTGCCTGTCTGCTGCAATTTTATCCTGTTACTGATGAGGAGGTGGAGACATTGAGAGGTTAAATCCAAGAACACAAAGGAGCTATTGGTAAAGTCAGGAGTATATCCCAAGTTTCCTGACTCCCATTTCCCTGCTCTACTAGACCACACGACTTTCCCATGTACTGTAAGGTGGATAGGGATGACAGACTGTGATAGCTATTAACAGTAATCCCTTCTCTTCTCTTTTCCACCCAGTGTCTACGGGCCTGAAAACAGTGATTTAAAGGAAGCTCCAAAAATGACTTGTCAGGGAAATGGTCCATATATATAGAAGCCACAAAGATGCTCGCGTTATAAAACAGGTGAATGGGCAAACTGTGACTGCCCCTGTAGGGGTATGCTGGA